TGATGATGTCAGAAATTGCAAAGCACCAAGAAAGGCAAGTTCCATTTGTATTTGTTGTCTACTTGGCTGTAGTAGTTGGATGCTGTGGGAATATTAGTGGCAGCACTGAGGAAATGGGAAACTGACACTGCACACATCTGAGCAAGGAAAGTCATCTTGGAAAACCATTGGTGCTGTGTGGAGTCCAGAGTCCCAGCAGCCCATTGGATGTGAAGTTGAATGTGAAGAGAGAGAAGCTGAGCACAAGAAATGGACTGGGTTGTTTTGGTTTGGCCAACCCCAAACTGAGTTTGGCCACAAGGCAAAGACACAGTCAGTTTTTGTGTCAAACGTGGGGTCTTTTTATAGAAGGCTTTATTTGCATACTATGCAGGAAAGCTCTTCCGTGTATCCCATTTCTCTGAGGCACTACAGCTCTAACTCGTGCCCATGGGATTTGATAGGACCTTTTAGGATGCTAAAACCCCTTTGTACTTGTCTAGGGTTCTTTCTCTACCACGCACAGAAAGTGCTAGAGTTTTCTTCTTCTCCATAGATGACGAATGCCTAAAGAGGTACGACACAACTTCTTCAGCCCCTTTTGTATATTTTTCCCTTTTAAACCCTTACTGGACTTGAGTAAGGAGGAAAAAATGCTGCCTGGTTATGAATGCTCTGTAGTCAAAATTTGCCATCCTTTCTTGTGGTCAAAGTTGTGGTGGATCCCATGAGAGAGTCCTGGTAAAAAATAAAGGCTGAGCAGCTTTCTGTCTTTCCTTTCTTTCAGATAATTGCCTCATAGCTATAGGAACTTTTAGAGCTTAGCAAAAATATAGTCACTAGACAGGTTACTGAGACATTTAGGATCCTTTCAGGTAGGTCTATCACCTTTAACTTTTTCCTGTCTTTCTGGTGTTAATCTGAGGAATGCCGAGTGCTCTTGTCAGTGACATATGTGCGTGCGGTTCTTCATCCTAATGAATCTGGGGCTTTCTCTTCTGAAGCCAGTGAATTTTCGATTTAAAAACAAAGACAACAACAACAAAAAAAACCATACACAGCCCCCAAAAATTACACAGGCCACCAAAACAATTGCTTGTTCTATTTTGTAGAATATAGTCTCAAGACAGGCTTAAAAGACGTTTGTTTCTTGAGACTTGCTAGATAACGCGGATGAAATGTATGGCTGTGTTCATACAGTTACTGCCCTGCAATCTTCCAGCCCGTCTGATTTGCAGGGTGTGTCAGAATGGAGATCTCAGCCCCTGGCAGGCAGCGCTTCTGGGGCCAGCTGTGGGATCCTGCTGCTGAGCATTTAATGCAAGAGCTGCTGTTTCACTGCAATTTAGATTGCAGCATGTTCAGGGAGACAGCTGCTGCCTTTCATTTTTCTTAGTACACCAGGCTGCAGTAGGGAACATTTCTGCTGGAGCCAACATGTGGTGGGGGAGAAGAGAATAGGAGGGACGTGGAGGATAGAGCTTCTGACTTTATCGTGTTGTTCATTCATGATTGTTGGGAGCAGCAGCCGAATCAGAAGGGTTGAACCCTATTGATTGGTGTTGTGTTTTCTTTTGTGCACAGGGCCTAGAGTTATTTTGTAGATCTGTAGAGCTCAGTGAAGACAAAGTGGGTTGGGAAGACATATGTAGATTTATTGCTTGAGGTGAGTATGGAACATTGGCTCCCTGGTAACAGTGGCTGAATGCTGAGCATGGGGAGGGAACACAGCTATGGATGTGCATGCAAAATTAATTCAGGACCTCCAGAAGAGCCTGAAACTTTGGAACTGTCAGGGAACAAATGGGTGTTGGTATACTGGTGTGTGTAACATGATGTTGTGATGTCCAGCCAAGTAAACCACTGCATCTCTCTCTGTTACAGGAGCAGCTAGCTAGCTAGATGTAAGGGAAGTGTTTAAGAGAAACAGTGACTTTAGAGACTTCTGCAAGTAGTGGATTCAAAAACTTCTCCTAGGAATATGTTAGATTTTCATTAATTTCTGGATCGTCTAAGGAAGCATAAGAATTCCATAGGGAAACTGAACCCAAACTAATAAACCCTTTCTTGAAAAGAATCGTGTCATATTTGTTCCTTGAAGAAGCTGCCAAACAACCTTACCTTTTAAATCCTTTAAGGGATCTAACAGGAAAACATATTGACAAACCCGGTCAGGCAGTGTTTCTGATCTGGCGCTGATGCTCTCGGGTTCCGGGGAGCCACGGGAAGGCTCCAGTCCAGACTGTCCGGTCAGGCTGGGGCCATTGAGCTCCGGCTCAGCCCTGGAGGCTGTGAGGGCAATCAAAGCAATGTCAAAGGCCTCCCAGGCCTGGGCCAGGCTGGGCCGCAGCAGTGCCCCCAGCCCTCCAGGAGCCTACGGGCTCTGCCAAGCATAAAAGGACACTGCCCCCAGCCCCGGGGGCTTGGCCTGACAGCCGAGCCCAGAGCAGCAGAGCTGTCACACTCCCCGCTGGTTCTGGTCGCTCTCAGGCGCGAGCAACGCCCGTGGGTGCCCTGGACAGCACAGGAGCAGCACAGGGGCACTTGCCAGGGCCAGGGGAAGCACAGGGGTCAGCTTCTGCACGGCGACACAGCAGGCATGCTGCAGGGGACAGAGCCAATGGCAGCGGGCATGAGCAGCTCTGTGGGGCTCTCAGCCCACAGCATCGGCCCCAAGGGCTGCTCTGTCCCTGCCTGCGTGCCTGCCTGATGGGCAGGGCTGCAGGCCTTGGAGAGCAGCGGCCATTGCGGGCACGGGGCTCCCAACAGCTGCCCCCTGGCCCAGCTGGGCCCCACTTGAGGAGGAAGGAGGCTGCCAGCCCTGGCCTGCCTGAGCAGCTCCTGCCTCCTTTGGCCTCTGCTCTGGGCCCCACGCTGGCCACCCCGACAGCCCCTGGGCCAGGCTGTGAGAGGGGCTGCTTTGCCCTCACCTGGCTCCCTGCCATCAGGGCCCTCCTGCTCCCTGTCACACATGATTCTGGTCAGGGGTGAGTCCCTGTGCAGGAACACCACGGTCTCCTCCACGTGCGAGTCCTCTCTCTCCATGGCAGAAAAAAAAGAGTGCTGCTTCATAGCAGCATACTTGTCTTGATACTGTCTCATGGTTTCCGTGGAAT